AAATGCCCGACCAGAGAGGAGAACACTCTGGATCACTGTTACACCACCGTGCGCGGAGCTTTTCGCGCTGTTCCCAAGCCAGCCCTCGGCTTCTCAGATCACTCCATGATACATCTGGTTCCTGCTTACAGACAGAGACTAAAGCTCTCGAAACCTGCAGTGAGGAGCTCCAAAGTGTGGTCTGATGAAGCTGTGGAAGAGCTGCGCGCATGCATGGAATCTACAGACTGGGACCTTTTCAGAGCTGCCACAGATAGTTTGGATGAATACACGGACACTGTGACGTCATACATTCACTTCTGCGAGGATAGCATCATTCCAACAAGGACCAGGGTCATCTATAACGACGACAAACCCTGGTTCACTGCTAAACTCCGGCAGCTCAGGAAAGCAAAGGAGTCTGCTTTCAGGGAGGGGGACCGCAGCGGCTACAAAGCAGCTAAATATCAGTTCAGGAAAGAACTGAAAGCAGCCAAGTCCCGGCACAGAGAACGACTACAGGAGCAGTTTGGTAACAACGATACTGCTTCTGTCTGGAGGGGCCTACGGGAGATCACCAACTACAAACCCAAAGCCCCCCCCTGTGCTGATGACCACAAGCTAGCTGACGATCTGAACTTATTTTTCAGTCGCTTTGATGCTGCCCCTGACACCTCTCCCTCCCCCACCCCCCCACTACTCTAACGACCCACCCATCAGCCCTGCCCCCAGCCTAACAATAGCCCCTAAAGAGATTAAACAACTCTTCCTGAGGCTGCACCCCCGCAAAGCTCCTGGCCCGGACCACGTGTCTCCGGCCACTCTGAGACACTGCGCCAGTGAGCTTACTCCTGTGTTCACGGACATTTTCAACACCTCTCTGCAGTCCTGCCATGTCCCGGCCTGCTTCAAATCCTCCATCATTGTCCCCGTCCCGAAGAAGCCCAGGATCACAGGACTCAATGACTACAGACCTGTAGCACTTACGTCTGTCGTCATGAAGTCATTTGAACGCCTGGTTCTCTCCCATCTCAAGTCCCTCACCTCCCCCCTCCTGGACCCCCTGCAGTTCGCCTACAGAGCCAACAGATCTGTAGACGACGCCATTAACCTGGCCCTCCACCACATCCTACAGCACCTGGACTCCCCGGGGACCTACGCCAGGGTCCTGTTCGTGGACTTCAGCTCTGCCTTCAACACAATCCTGCCATCCCTGCTCCAGGACAAGCTCTCCCAGCTCAACGTGCCCGATTCCACCTGCAGGTGGATCACTGACTTCCTGACGGACAGGAAGCAGCGAGTGCATCTGGGGAAGAATGTCTCGGACTCTCGGATTATAAATACAGGAGCCCCACAGGGCTGTGTTCTTTCTCCCCTGCTCTTCTCCCTGTACACCAACTACTGCACCTCCAGCCACGACTCCGTGAAGCTGATCAAGTTCGCGGACGACACCACCCTCATCGGACTCATCTCCAACAACGATGAGTCCGCCTACAGGAGGGAGGTGGACCGGCTGGTGTCCTGGTGCAGTGGTAACAACCTGGAGCTGAACGCCCAGAAGACAGTGGAGATGATTGTGGACTTCAGGAAGAGCACTGTCCCCCCACCCCCACCCTCCGTGATGGACTCCCCCATCACCTCTGTGGAGTCCTTCCGTTTCCTGGGCACCACCATCACCCAGGACCTCAAGTGGGAGCCGACCATCAGCTCCCTCATCAAGAAGGCCCAGCAGAGGATGTACTTCCTGCGGCAGCTCAGGAAAGCCAAGCTGCCTGCACAGATGTTGGTGCAGTTCTACACGGCCATCATCGAGTCCATCCTCACCTCCTCCGTCACCGTGTGGTTCGCTGGAGCCACAGTCAGGGACAAACAGAGACTACAGCGCATTGTGCGCTCTGCAGAGGAAGTGATCGGCCGCAGCCTTCCATCGCTGCAGGACCTGTACGTCGCCCGAGCTCGAGGCCGGGCTGGTCGTATCACAGCCGACCCCTCTCACCCTGCACATGGACTATTCCAACCACTCCCCTCAGGCAGGAGGCTGCGGTCCATCAGGACTAGAACCTCCCGCCACAAGAACAGTTTCTTCCCCTCTGCTGTTGGACTCTTGAACACTTCTTAACCTGCCCCCCCGCCCTTTATAAAGTCACTTTACTGCCCATCATACGTCACTTTACTTCACTGTACTGCTGTCACCTTACATTGTGTGCACCATGTGCACTTGTATATTGTAAATAGTAACTGTAACTCTATTTTAAATTTAAATTTATTCTTTAGAAGTTTTTTATACTTTTTTTTTTATTATCTCTTTTTGACTGTTGCACTGAGCCAAAGCAATTTCCTAGTCTGTGACTTCTGTTACTTACGTGGCAATAAAAATGATTCTGATTCTGATAATTTATTCTCCAATTAACATTTAAATGTGTTGATTGATTGGTATTTGCGTTTATTGAGCGTGGCAAGCTCCGATAATGACGAAGTGGCCGGAACTACTTGCGGAGTAATCTACACATCTGAATTACAAGCACAGAGTGCGTTGCCAAAGGGCAGCGGCCATTATTGTTTGATTATATGTAAATATATTGTATATATATATATATATATATATATATATATATATATATATATATATATATATATATACAGCCTTTGAGCCTGAAGGTCGTGGGTACCATGAGATTTTTCCCACCGACCCCCACTGATGTCCGCTGTCGTTGTGTCCTCGGGCTAGACACTTAACCCCACTTTGCCTGAAGCCCCTGCTGAAAGATCAAGGCTATACCACAGATTAGCCTTCCTCCTGTGGACTCACCACCTGCAGGAGGATCAGTGAGGGGCTGGTGCTTTGTGTACTGGGTGGCATCTCTGGCCACCCCCCAACCCAGAAATGAATTAAGGGGAGGAAAATGGATGGATGGATACATATAATTTACTGTATACAGTACAGACCAAAAGTTTGGACACACCTCATTCAAAGAGTTTTTATTTTTGTTATTATGAAAATTGTATATTCACACAGAAGGTGACAAAGCTATGGATGAACTCATGTGGAATTATGTGCAAACTAAAAAAAAAAGTATGAAACAACTGAATAGATGTTATAATAGGTGTTATATTCTGGTTCTTCAAAGTAGCACCTTTTGCTCTGATACTGCTTCACTCTTGGCATACTCTTGATGAGCTTCAAGAGGACCTGAAATGCTCTCCAACAGTCTTGAAGGAGTTCCCATGATGCTTAGCACTTGTTGGCCCTTTTCCCTCCACTCTGGGGTCCAGCCCCAAAACCGTCTGGACTGGGTTCAGGTCTGGTGACTATGGAGGTCATCTGGCCCAGCACCATCACTCTCCTTATTGGTCAAACAGCCCTTACACAGCCTGGTGTGGATCTACAGTCAGTAGTCATGAAAAGAAAGGACACTCAATGAATGAGAAACTTTTGGTCTGTACAGTTTTTTTAGTGCAGGTCATTAGTGACATAAAGTGATTTGTCAGTCTGACAGCGGTGGGGATGAAGGATGTTGTATGTACACACATACGACACAAGCACATCCTCCAACACAGTTTTTCTCTCGCTTGAAGCTCGTCTTGTTTTCCTAAAGAAGCAAAACGTTCATGAAGCAAACGCTGAGTCATAGTTCAGTTATAGTCGAATAAATGAATAAAAAGTTTCCATGGATCACCTCCTGTCGTCTCTTTCTGCCAGTGAAGTGCAGTCTCTGACCTGTGTCCGGTCTGTGCTCAAGGTCTGCGACAACACAACACACACATAACACAACGCCCCAACACACAAATGAGCACAACACAACCAACACACAGATGAAGCCAGCACCAGGACTTCCAGGTCAAACACTTTCAATAAACGTTTACATAACCAACAGTCAGTACAGGTTTGAACATACAAAACTCAGATGTATTTTCTGTTGTTGCCGTGAAGCACTTTGGGGCAGCTGGTGTTGTGAATGCGCTATACAAATAAACCTGACATTTACAGCACAAATCATTGGTCTGTGTTTTCCATTTCGAGTAAAATCTGTCACTCTTGTTTGTCTCTGACTCTGTTTAGAGCCTTGTGTCAAACATCCAGCAATACAACTTATTTGTATAGCGCACTAGTCGCTCCCAGTCCTCAGAGACACCGCTCTGTGAGGACGAAGCATAGAGGAAAAACAACACACACACACAGACAAACACACAGAGAGACACACACAGAGAGAGACACACACACACATGCACAGACGCTCATACACACACATGCACAGACACACACAGGCGCACAGACAAACACACATAGAGACACATACACCCAGACACACACAGAGAGATACACACATGCACAGAGACACACACACATGTAGAGACAAACACGCACAGACACACACACACATAGAGAGATATACACACTTGCACAGACACACACACAGATACACACGTAGAGACACACACCCAGAGACACACACTTGCACAGACACACACACACGCACACACACATGTGTAGACAAACACGCAAAGACACACACAGACGCACACACAGATACACACGTAGAGACACACTTGCATAGACACACACACACCTCCGCTGATATAAACAGCTGAATCTCAAACACGGTTAACGAAGGAAATGAAGAAGTCCTGGTTCTGAGTGTGTGTGTGTGTGTGTGTGGGTGTGTGTGTGTGTTTGTGTGTGTGTGTGTGTGTACCCGTGAACCATGTAGCTACTGTCATCCATGTGTCCTCCTCAGGGACACTGTTCTCCATGCAGCACTCTGTAACTTGAATAACTTAGACACGCAAACACAGCTGCTACAGAGACACAGAGGGCATCCAGACACAGCTGCTGCATAGACACAGCTGCTACAGAGACAGAAAGACACAGCTGCTGCAGAGACACAGCTGCTGTATCGTAGAAAGACAGCAACAGGGACTGAGACAAATCAATGCAGCAACATAAAATAAATGTAATCTGAAATTGTTTATTATTACAGACGTGACCACAGAGGAAGTCTGTCTCTTATCTGAAATGAAGTCTAAAGGAAGATGACATGACTGAGGAGAGAGGACGGAGGAGAGTGGACTGAGGAGAGAGGACTGAGGAGAAAGGACTGAGGAGAGTGGACAGAGGAGAGTGGACAGAGGAGAGAGGACTGAGGAGAGGACAGAGGACTGAGGAGAGAGGACAGAGGAGAGAGGACTGAGGAGAGGACAGAGGACTGAGGAGAGAGGACTGAGGAGAGAGGACAGAGGAGAGAGGACAGAGGAGAGGACAGAGGAGAGAGGACTGAGGAGAGAGGACCGAGGAGAGAGGATTGAGGAGAGAGGACTGAGGACAGTGGAGAGAGGACCGAGGACGGAAGAGAGTGGATAGAGGAGAGAGGACTGAGGAGAGAGGACAGAGGAGAGAGGAGAGAGGAGAGAGGAGAGAGGACAGAGGAGAGAGGACAGAGGAGAGAGGACCGAGGAGAGAGGAGAGAGGACAGAGGAGAGAGGACTGAGGAGAGAGGACTGAGGAGAGAGGACTGAGGAGAGAGGACAGAGGAGAGAGGACAGAGGAGAGAGGACAGAGGAGAGAGGACCGAGGAGAGAGGAGAGAGGACAGAGGAGAGAGGACAGAGGAGAGAGGACTGAGGAGAGAGGACAGAGGAGAGAGGACTGAGGAGAGAGGACTGAGGAGAGAGGACTGAGGAGAGAGGACAGAGGAGAGAGGACAGAGGAGAGAGGACTGAGGAGAGAGGACAGAGGAGAGAGGACTGAGGACAGTGGAGAGAGGACCGAGGACGGAAGAGAGTGGATAGAGGAGAGAGGACTGAGGAGAGAGGACAGAGGAGAGAGGAGAGAGGAGAGAGGAGAGAGGACAGAGGAGAGAGGACCGAGGAGAGAGGACAGAGGAGAGAGGACCGAGGAGAGAGGAGAGAGGACAGAGGAGAGAGGACTGAGGAGAGAGGACTGAGGAGAGAGGACTGAGGAGAGAGGACAGAGGAGAGAGGACAGAGGAGAGAGGACAGAGGAGAGAGGACCGAGGAGAGAGGAGAGAGGACAGAGGAGAGAGGACAGAGGAGAGAGGACTGAGGAGAGAGGACAGAGGAGAGAGGACTGAGGAGAGAGGACAGAGGAGAGAGGACTGAGGAGAGAGGACAGAGGAGAGAGGACAGAGGAGAGAGGACTGAGGAGAGAGGACAGAGGAGAGAGGACTGAGGAGAGAGGACAGAGGAGAGAGGACTGAGGAGAGAGGACCGAGGAGAGAGGACTGAGGACCGAGGAGAGAGGACAGAGGACCGAGGAGAGAGGACAGAGGACCGAGGAGAGAGGAGAGAGGACAGAGGAGAGAGGACAGAGGAGAGAGGACTGAGGAGAGAGGACAGAGGAGAGAGGACTGAGGAGAGAGGACAGAGGACAGAGGAGAGAGGACCGAGGAGAGAGGAGAGAGGACAGAGGAGAGAGGACTGAGGACAGAGGAGAGAGGACAGAGGAGAGAGGACAGAGGACAGAGGAGAGAGGACCGAGGAGAGAGGACTGAGGGCAGAGGAGAGAGGACCGAGGAGAGAGGAGAGAGGACCGAGGAGAGAGGACTGAGGACAGAGGAGAGAGGACTGAGGACAGAGGAGAGAGGACAGAGGAGAGAGGAGAGAGGACTGAGGACAGAGGAGAGAGGACAGAGGAGAGAGGAGAGAGGACTGAGGACAGAGGACAGAGGACTGAGGACAGAGGAGAGAGGAGAGAGGACTGAGGAGAGAGGACTGAGGAGAGAGGACTGAGGAGAGAGGACTGAGGAGAGGGGACAGAGGAGAGAGGACAGAGGAGAGAGGACTGAGGAGAGAGGACTGAGGAGAGATTGTTCATGGAAACATGCATGCACTGTTCCAGCCAAATAAACAACAACATACTGTAAGAAGTGATTTCAATAGATCAATAGAAGCAGGTAAAACAGCAGGAGAGAATTTCTGTTCCGTCTGTTTACTTTGAGAGATAATTTGTAAACGTATGGAGTGAGGGAAGTGAAGGAGCTGTCCGTGGTGCTGAACTAATAAGGTACCAATGAGTGCTAATGAGGTTTATTGAAAATGCACGGAATCACCTTTTTTTAATCGGAATATCTCCTTTGTGCTGCATGTGTGTGTGTGTTTGTATGTGATCTCTCTGGGCGCAGACTTTTTGCTACATTTAGTTTTACTTCCTGTCCTCTTTCCCTGGTCTGTCCTGCCCTATGTGTGTTTCAACTGTGTCTGAGCCACACCACTTTTATAATAACGACAATTTCACCGTGAAAGGTAAATGTTGAACCACCATCTGACAGACAGTTGTATTGATCATTACAATTGCATGGACTTGCAGTTTGTTTAAATGAAAGTAGCGACTATATATTGAGCTACTTTAGACAGGATTTTGTAACTTTGCTTGCTGAATGTTTTGTAGAGTAGCTTGTAGCTTAGCTCACTACACATTTCAAGTAGCTAACCCATCACTGATTGTCCACATGCTTTATGAAATACAAATGTTACTAAATGAATATGAACGTCCGTCTCTAACAGAAATTAAATCCTTCAGGTTTGTGTGAATACAAGAAAATAATGTTTTTCTTCCTTTTAAGACCAGAGAAAGAGACCCGAGAGAGAGACCAGTAAAAGAGAGACCAAGGGGAGAGACCACAGAGACCAGTGAGAGACCAAAAAAAGCAAAACCAGAGAGCGATTCCAGTGAGAGACCATAGAGAGAGAGAGAGAGAGAGGAGAGAGACAGAGACAGAGAGAGATAGAGAGAGAGAGAGAGAGAGAGAGAGAGAGGAGAGACCAGAGACCAGAGACCAAGAGAGAGAGAGAGAGAGAGAGAGAGAGAGAGAGAGAGAGAGAGAGACCAGAGACCATAGAGAGAGAGAGAGAGACCAGTGAGATACCGGAAAAAGCAAAACCAGAGAGAGATTCCAGTGAGAGACCATGGAGAGAGAGAGACCAGTGAGATACCGGAAAAAGAGAGACCAGAGAGAGAGAGTCCAGTAGAGTTTCGCTTTTCAGCCCGAGCCCAAGCAGGCCCGAGCCCGACCCAAGTTCGGGCCGGGCTCGGGCCTCACTTCAGCGCTCAGCAGTCGGGCCATTCCGGGCTCGGGCTCATTTATTAGTACTTTTTTCAATACTTTTTTTTTTATCTTTTTTTTTTTTTTTTTTTGATTTTCATACACAATGATATGCATAAATGTATTTATCATAATAATGTCCGTTGATTGACAACAAGTTATTAAAAAGTTGATATATTTATAACACCGTAACCGGCGTGTCCTACAGCCGCAGAAACCCGTGAACGCATCATCCCTGTTTTTCCTGTTGAATGCTACGGTCAACAGCGAACACACGGAACATTAATAGAAATGGATCAGGTGGACGTACAAAACACATTCAGAAGTGGCTAAACTTGCAATTGGAAGGTGAGTGTGTGCAACAAGGGAAATCAGACGTGTCGGGCTTCTGTCGGGCTTCTGTCGGGCTCGGGCCTACTATACAACCTTAATTGGTCGGGCTTATACGGGCTCTGGCTTAGTATTAGCGGGCTCGGGCTGGGTCGGGCTTGATTTTTTGAAGCTCTAGAGTCCAGTGAGAGACTACTTTGTGTTGGAGTAGAGAATTGAACGGTTTGTCCTTGTCGATCAAAGAGCCTCCTTCGGATAATTTTCTCCAGACTGACATTTCCACAGGACACGGAAAGCTCAGCCGAGGCCCCTCTGCTGGAGCCTCTCCTCAGGGCCCGTATTATCTCGGATTGGCTCCTTTTGGCCCCTGTGTTATCTCTGATTGACTCCTGTTGGTCCAGCTCCAGTTTAAAGGCCGGAGAGATGACCTTTGAGTTTCCATGAACAATCTCCTCCGCTGCCCTTTCTGCTTCACGTGCATCTACACGCATCTCTCAGGCGCATCCTGGTCGCTTCACTTTCTCTTTTACTAAATAATAACTTTAGAGACCGGAAAGAGAGACCAGTAAAGAGAGACTAGAGAGAGACCAGAGAGAAACCAGGGAGAGAGAGAGAGACCAAAGAGAGACCAGAAAGAGAGAGATCAGGGAGAGACGGGAGAAAGAGACCAGAGAATCCAGAGAGAGAGACCAGGGAGAGAGACTAAAGAAAGAGACTATAGAGAGACCAAAGAGAGACCAGAGAGAGACTTGAGAAAGAGACCAGAGAGAGACTAGAGAAAGAGACTTGAGAAAGAGAGAAGAGAGAGACCAGAGTGAGACCAGATAAAGTGCTAAACCACAAATGTAATCCCTAGACAGTGAGTGTGATACCAACGGTTACTGAGCTCAAAGTTTACTGTCACTTTTAAGTCAATAGGAGCCAAACATCACCTTGAACTCTTCCCGATGGGCTTCATTGTGCTAGCCCGTTAGCGTTGTCCATCTGTGTATAGGCTTGAGACGACTGCTGCAGTGATTATGGGCAGGACAAATGATTACGTTTCTGTGTTCTCTTGGTTTAAATCTCCAGTTGGATGATTTCCTTTGACTCCTTGTTGCCGTCTGTCTGGCCTTCTTTATTATGCCAGCCCATGTTCAAGCGTCTCACTCTTTCATTACTGACGGCTCCTCATCAGTAAATTACAGTCTGTCATCTGTGGATTATTATGCAGGAATGTGTCTCTGCGTTTGCATATCTCCAGAACACTCCGCCGCCACCTGCAGCAGCGGAGCATTAAGAAGTCTCTCAATTAAAGAGAACACTGTAGAATTAGCGTTAGCATCTGTTCCGATGCTTGATTCATAAAAAACAGGGCAGTTTGTGAAACACCACAGTTAGATTGTCTCATTTCTGATGGTGGATCAATACAGTCATGTGGAAGTTGAGACGAACAGGAATAATGGGGATGCCTGTGGCCAAAGGAGAGCAGGGTTCAGACTCTAATAGGGGGATAAGTCCTCTGCATTTGATCCATCGTCAATGCCAGCAGGGGACACGGTCTGAGGCAGAGGTGTGGAGCAGAGGTCTGTAGCAGAGGTCTGGAGCCTTCTCTGCGTCAGGACAACCACATCCTGAATGAACCGTAAGTCTGAAAGGACACTCACAAATGAAGCTGAATGCGCAGGTTCAGACTGAAAGACCGAGTGCCTGCCAGCCTCAGCCAATCACACAGCTCTGCCAGCCTCGAGCCTCAGCCAATCACACAGCCAGGCCAGCCTCCTGCCAACCCTCTCAGAGCAAAGCGGGCAGTTTAAAAGGCAGCCACTTCCTGACAAGCAACGCTTCCTGAGGCTCTTAAACACCCACCACCTCCCCAGCACCCCCTCTGGCTCTTGGCTCCCGCTCTGGCTCCCGCTCTGGCTCCCGCTCTGGCTCCCGCTCTGGCTCCCACTCTGGCTCCCGCTCTGGCTCCCGCTCTGGCTCCCGCTCTGGCTCCCGCTCTGGGCTCCCGTTCCGGCTCCTGCTCCGACTACGCCCCATTCACACCATACTCTAGCCACCACCAGTGATTGACCCCGGGGGATCCGAGATCATCTTCAGCTGCAATCGATCTCATTGCTGCAAGTGTCACTGCCGGGGTCAATGCGCCAAACAAATAAATAATTTTAATGTATTAATTGTGTCTTTGGTCTCTTCAGATTGAATTACACTTAAAGGGAAACACAAGTAAATAGATAAGTGGATGGAAACTCAATGCTCCTCAAAGCATTCTATTTTAATCGAGGTTAATAGCCACAGATGTTTCACTGCAGTGAGGACAGGCAAAACACTCTGGATGTGTCCATCCATCCATCCATTTTCTTCCCCTTCATTTCTGGGTTGGGGGGCAACGCTCACAGCTTTACCTAAGTCACAGAGCACCAGCCCTGATCCTCCTGAAGGTCCAGTGGAGGACAGCTGCTCTGTCAGTGACAGCACAGCTTTGATCTCTCAGTAGAGGCTTCAGGCAAAGTGTCTTGCCAAAGGGCACAATGGCAGCAAACATCAGTGGGAGCCAGTGGAGAAGGTCTCGAGGTGGGATCGAACCCACAACCTTCAGGCTCAAAGGCCAATGCTCTACAACATGCCCTACACTGGATGCTCTAATATATTTCACATCATTATTCATTCATTCATTCATTTTACCCGCCAATCCAAGAAGATAAAATAACTTTACTGAACTGCTCTGTTTGGTCTTCCTACACCTTTGAATGTGTCACTAACTACAAAGTGTGCCATTACCTTTACTGCCTTGTTTGCCAGACACCAAATTCTTCTTAAATGGAAACACCACCAGTTGCTTTCCCAGCGAGTAATGCCTCGGCGGCCCATCCCAAACACTGATAAATGTACTCCTGCTGTGGTGAAATGATTGAGGTCCTATGGAATGGGTAGGTGACTTCAGCTGTCTTACGGTCAGTGACTAATTTTGCCCAAAAATATATTTTTTTATGGGGCTAAAAAAATTCCAGAACAGCGCCCCCTACAAAAAACAGTTTATATTGCGCCTATGGACGGGGGGCAAAGGTCAAGTTTGTCGTAAAGTTGCGAAATTTGGTACATATTTGGTACAAGTAGACTTAGTTACTACTGTAGCCACAGCTGCCCTGGGGCACAGTGACAGAAGCGAGGCAACCAGTATTTGTCATCAGCCCCTCCCACCACCATGGATCATTCACACACACACAAGACTCATTCCAATGTGGGTGAAGTGTCTCGCCTAAGGACACAACCACAGTTTGGTACTTTACAGGTGCCCCATTTTGGCACTTGCTGTTATAAGAGGTCTTCCATCACAGTACTAACCTGGCCCTGCCCTGCTTAGCTTGAGAGGTCTGACATCACCTGCAGATGGGAGGATAGCTAGTTTCAGTGTCTCTCTTCACTGTGACCGAGAAGTGACATTATTGTGATGTTATTGTTCTTCTCGGTGTGATGTCACACTGTTGTGATAATCTGAAATAACTTTGAAATAACAGATTGTGCTACAGCTGTGTGTTTGCAGCCTCAGGGCTCATCTCATGGTTTTTAATTTTGGATTCGAAAAAACATGTCTAGAATCTCAGCCAAAAACAAACTTTGATTGTTCAGCAAGAGTTTCACAAACGTGCATTTTACTAAATCACTTTATTAAAAATGTAGTTGTTGCTTTAAATACTAGGCTTAGGTCAAATACATAAATGCATGCAACAGATACACAGCAGAAAAAAAACATAGAGAGAGAGAGAGAGAGATGATTCCAGATTAAAGTAGGACATTTGTCTTGGACTCACAGCTGCTACATTGAAAATACACAGTAACACATAAACCCTCAGCGCTCTGCTCCCTGGCCTGCATCCAGGAGGTTCACAGATAGGAATAGGAACCAGTTCTTATACCGGTTTAGATATGTCTTCTTATTTCTAGTTGGTACTCTCTAGCGGCGGCCTGATGGGAGGAGCTCATACTGAGAGTAAAGGACATTTAAAAGGTCTGAGGTGATTTTCATTACCTGGCTACTCAAATATCTGCTGCAAAGATGGATGCTCCCTAACTCCCATGATCTTACATTCTGGGCGCACCAATCTGTAAGGAAATGCATTTGTATTAACAGTTAAATGGTTTGGGACACACACAGACCATCTCTCCACTCTCAATCACAGCATGATAAAGTAACGTCATCATTTTCTGTTCAATTCCAAAAAGTCTTCATCGCCGCAGGGAATAGAGTCTTTGTTGCACCCTGCAGCAGACAGAGAGAGAGACAGAAAGAGAACACCATCTTCTGTTAAATTCAATCCATCCATTTTCTTCCCCTTGATCAATCCCCTTTCTGGGTCAGGGGGGTGGCAGTCAGAGCTGCACCCAGTGCACAGAACACCAGCCGTCGTGAAGTAGGTCTTGTGGTGGGCTCGAACCCACGACCTTCAGGCCCAAAGGCCAAAGCTCTACCGACAAAGCCACTGTCGCCCCCCTCTATTTATTCCTATTAAGCACTAAGGCACTGTCCACACGCAGCCGGGTTTTTTAAAAACCGAATATTTCCCCCCCTCCGTTTATAAAATAATTTGCATCCAAACATAACCAAACATCTGCGTTTTCACTCACATTCAGAACATTCCAAACATGTGCGTCCTCTGACGTCCTGCGTTGGGGAAAAACACAGAAGTGGGCGGAGCTTTAATGCTGATGCCGGTGCTTCTGTAGTGGCACTGACAGTCATAGAAACTCAGGGTGAAGACATACTGTACAGTATGTTTACAAGCACTGACCCCCGTCCTCAGCCCTGGTTTAGTCCTGGTTTAATCCTGGTTTAATCATGGTTTAACTCCTGTTTTGGTTGTTTTGGAGCATGAGTCTCCGTGGTCACTTTGCTGCTCTCTGATGTGGAGGATGTCCGCTGCTGTGAACCGCTCGCAGCAGAGAACAGTTTTTAAGGCAGTAAGATCTATGCTTCTTCAGTGATCAGAGGTTGCATGTTTTGTTTGTTGTTGTCTTGGCACATACTGTGACGTGCGAAAAACTCAAAACTCCGGTTATCTCTGTCTCCACGCAAATGCACAAACAGAATTTTAAAAAATCTCCACTTGGCCCTGAGTTTTTTTATATATTCGTTTAAGATGTGTTGTCATGTGGAAACGAAGAAAAATACCTGAGGTTTAGCAGATACCCGGCTACGTGTGGATGGTGCCTAAATCAGTCGTTATCACAGAGGCAAACCGTTGCATTTGCCAACACAGATCGGGTAGAAGCAAACAGTTCAAACACAATAAATGAAACAGAAAACACATTGCATTAGTGTTGGTCCATAAGAGACCAACACTAATAAGCGTGTGGTCATAGACAGTAAATACGATGACACCACCAAAGACTGTTCCAGAACTATGTTTACCTTGAAACAGGACCAACTCAAAGGCTGATCTGTAAACCTGTTGTTATTCCCAACATAAAAGACGCTAACAGGAGCTTCGGTCTGTGGGTACAATGGTCCTCATGTATGAAACTTTCGCTGCAAAAGGTGTGTACATTTTGTAGATTCCAGATACGCAAGATCCGACGTGGCATTTATGAACGTGTGAGATCCGCACAGATCTGAGCGTACGCACCTGCGGCTGTTTAATAAATGCCCCGCACAAAACCAGCGTATTTATGGAAGTCACGCCTAGAAATGTTCAGAAACTACCCGTCCCACGCCCTGTTTTTACGACAGGTCAGCAGGAAGTCGGCTAAGAAGACTGTTTGGAAGCCTCAAAAAGCCTTTGGCACGCACTTCTGAGTTTATTCCCCTTATATATTTTTTTTTTATAAATATACTTTATATTTTATATACGAGTTTTTCCCTAGTGTCTAGACCCACTGCAGCACTCATCTCTCCTGAAATGTAGAAGTAAATAAATAAATAATAAATGACCTGAATGAATGAATGAACTATACTGCTGGTGCGCGTTGCATCCTATCTCTGCTGCGGAGTACAGGGCAGTGGCTGAGACAGTTTTGAGCAAGATCAGGTGCATTTATGGGGCTTTATGCACAAAACTAAGGAAAACACACATTGCTTTGCCAGAGGTGAATGAGGCAAAACATATGCGTAATTACGTATACGGCACAGGGTCTGCCACAGGTTAGTGAGTAAACGGCAAAGGAAAAATACTTCACGGAGCAGGAGATTGAGACCATTATGAACGAAGTGGGAAAAAGAATGAAGTCTTTCTATTTGGAATCCTCAAAAGTGGCATCAAGGGGCTCAATAAAAAATCATGGAAAGAGATGACAGCATCTATAAACAGTGGGGCCTGTAACACGCACTCCTGAAGATGTGAGTTTATTCGTGTTTGAAGAAATATACGCTATATCATGTCAAACAGTTGACAGATATATTGGGTCAATAGTTAAAATGATGCACGTCCAGATTGATTAATACCGAAAAGTGTAAATATTTTGCGTACACCTCATTTACACCTGGATTTGGCCGTACACACGTTTCATAATTGAGGGCCAATTTAACTAACTCGTTCTGATTCTGGATCCAGGACATAGGGTTCTATGTGACGGTTTGCCAGTGTTGGAAAACATTTATTCTCAGGTCTGAAATGACTAAGTAACAGCAGTTAGCTTTTGTTAACCTTGAACTATAGCAAGAGGCTACGTCACCGTGCGGGCGGGGGGAGGCGGGCTCACAGACAGAGGAGCACAGATCCAAGCGTTGTACATGAGCTGACCTCACCTTCATGCACGTAAAGGCTATAATTTGGCATGTTTTGAGTGTTGTCAGGTGCATCACCCAAATTATTATCACACATGTGCATGGGATGGACTGAAAATTAAGAAAAGCAAAATATGGCACCTTTAAGAGTCTGTAACATGCAGATAAACTCCTGGATAAACAAAATGAAAGAGTCTGAAGTTATCGTCTGGATCTACATTTCTGAGAATCTGCAGAGACTCCTCAGACTCCCTGAACTTTGAGCAGCGATTACCATCAGAGACAGGTGCGCGGCTTCTCCTCAGGACTCAGAGATAAACAACAGAGAAAGTGTGTTTTGTGTCAAATCTCCACAATATTTTTCTGGCATCTGCCTCAGCGTGGAACACCAATGGGAAATCACAAAGTTTAGCATTTGACTTTAGAGTTGTGGTAATTTCCAGAGGCAGATGTTTGTTTTGGACTTTGAAACCTATAGTAAGTCTTATATCTATATGTATTTTTCTTGTGGTGTCACGCAATCACTAATGCTAATTATAATATATTTTATTATAAGAAGTCTCAGATGAGCTGGAGAGGGTCTGAAGGTAAAGGAAACAGTAGTGAGAGAGGCGCTGGGGAGAGTCTGAAGGTAAAGGAGAGAGTAGAGAGAGGAGGTGGGGAGAGTCTGAAGGTTAAGGAGAGAGTAGAGAGAGGAGGTGGGGAGAGTCTGAAGGTTAAGGAGAGAGTAGAGAGAGAGGCGCTTGGGAGAGTCTGAAGGTTAAGGAGAGAGTAGAGAGAGAGGCGCTGGGGAGAGTCTGAAGGTAAAGGAGAGAGTAGAGAGAGGAGGTGGGGAGAGTCTGAAGGTTAAGGAGAGAGTAGAGAGAGAGGCGCTGGGGAGAGTCTGAAGGTAAAGGAGAGAGTAGAGAGAGGATGTGGGGAGAGTCTGAAGGTAAAGGAGAGAGTAGAGAGAGGAGCTGAAGAGGGTCTGAAGGTAAAGGAGAGAGTAGAGAGAGGAGCTGAAGAGGGTCTGAAGGTAAAGGAGAGAGTAGAGAGAGGAGGTGGGGAGAGTCTGAAGGTAAAGGAGAGAGTAGAGAGAGGCGCTGGGGAGAGTCTGAAGGTAAAGGAGAGAGTAGAGAGAGGAGCTGAAGAGGGTCTGAAGGTAAAGGAGAGAGTAGAGAGAGGAGGTGAAGAGGGTCTGAAGGTAAAGGAGAGAGTAGAGAGAGGATGTGGGGAGAGTCTGAAGGTAAAGGAGAGAGTAGAGAGAGGATGTGGGGAGAGTCTGAAGGTAAAGGAGAGAGTAGAGAGAGGAGGTGGGGAGGGTCTGAAGGTAAAGGAGAGAGTAGAGAGAGGAGGTGGGGAGAGTCTGAAGGTAAAGGAGAGAGTAGAGAGAGGAGGTGGAGAGGGTCTGAAGGTAAAGGAGAGAGTAGAGAGAGGAGGTGGGGAGAGTCTGAAGGTAAAGGAGAGAGTAGAGAGAGGAGCTGAAGAGGGTCTGAAGGTAAAGGAGAGAGTAGAGAGAGGAGGTGGGGAGAGTCTGAAGGTAAAGGAGAGAGTAGAGAGAGGAGCTGAAGAGGGTCTGAAGGTAAAGGAGAGAGTAGAGAGAGGAGGTGGGGAGAGTCTGAAGGTAAAGGAGAGAGTAGAGAGAGGAGCTGAAGAGAGTCTGAAGGTAAAGGAGAGAGTAGAGAGAGGAGGTGGGGAGAGTCTGAAGGTAAAGGAGAGAGTAGAGAGAGGAGGTGGGGAGGGTCTGAAGGTAAAGGAGAGAGTAGAGAGAGGAGGTGGGGAGAGTCTGAAGGTAGAGGAGAAAGAGAGGAGCGGGAGAGAGATAGTCTTTTTTGAATGATGTGAACTAATCATCAGAAAGCAACAGTAGGACATGATGCGTACATATGTAGAATGTGCATGCAGATGAGAACGGGAAAAAGAATGACAACAACAACAACATATTGTCAAAGAATGATGTTATAAAGAATTATGCTACAGGCACATGCGGGTCGTGAATGCAAGAACGCATTTCTGCTATTTTTGAAACATGCAAATTGAGGTTACGTATGCTGGTGTAGACAGGCTTTGTAAAAACCGAGGCTTCAAAACTGGCTCCACAGGGAACGGAGCGATGATTGGATTGAATGCAGACAGAGATAAATGTATTCAGGGAGGTCCTTCTGCTGCTGCTGTAATAACATGTCTCCCTCCTGTTTGTTTACATTGGCTGCTTTTTGTTGTGCCACACAGTGAGAATGTAGAGAACTCCCTGGCCTTGTGTGTGAAAGCAGAGGGCTGGGCTCACACCTGAAGCAGATGCACAGAGAGAAACACAAATGCATTTAAAAGTTTGTGAAAATTATCTCAGAATAACCAGGGAAGTACTGAGAAATGCCTGAGGAATATGAGTGGTCCTTAACGTTAAAGCTTTTATCACTTAGGTACCAATAGAACAGTGTCGCCCAACCTTTTTGGGCCGTGGCACCCACGACCCTCCAGCGCAGGGGCCAATGCTCTACCAACTGAGCCACTGTCGCCCCCAAATATGCACAATGAATTTTATTTTTTTTTCTATATTTTCACAGTATTTTCTTTTAATGTTTTATATATATATATACACAGTGCCTTGCGAAAGTATTCGGCCCCCTTGAACCTTTCAACATTTCGCCACATTTCAGGCTTCAAACATAAAGATATAAAATTTAAAAATGTTGTTAAGAATCAACAACAAGTGGGACACAATCGTGAAGTGGAACAAAATGTATTGGATAATTTAAACTTTTGTAACAAATAAAAAACTGAAAAGTTGGGCGTGCAATATTATTCGGCCCCCTTGCGCTAATACTTTGTAGCGCCACCTTTTGCTGCAATTACAGCTGCAAGTCGCTTGGGGTATGTCTCTATCAGTTTTGCACATCGAGAGACTGGAATTCTTGCCCATTCTTCCTTGCAAAACAGCTCGAGCTCAGTGAGGTTGGATGGAGAGCGTTTGTGAACAGCAGTCTTCAGCTCTTTCCACAGATTCTCGATTGGATTCAGGTCTGGACTTTGACTTGGCCATTCTAACACCTGGATACGTCTATTTGTGAACCATTCCATTGAAGATTTGGCTTTATGTTTTGGATCATTGTCCTGTTGGAAGATAAATCTCCGTCCCAGTCTCAGGTCTTTTGCAGACTCCAACAGGTTTTCTTCCAGATTGGTCCTGTATTTGGCTCCATCCATCTTCCCATCAATTTTAGCCATCTTCCCTGTCCCTGCTGAAGAAAAGCAGGCCCAAAGCATGATGCTGCCACCACCATGTTTGACAGTGGGGATGGTGTGTTCAGGATGATGAGCTGTGTTGCTTTTACGCCAAACATATCGTTTTGCATTGTGGCCAAAAAGTTTGATTTTGGTTTCATCTGACCGGAGCACCTTCTTCCACATGTTTGGTGTGTCTCCCAGGTGGCTTGTGGCAAACTTTAAACGAGACTTTTCATGGATATCTTTGAGAAATGGTTTTCTTCTTGCCACTCTTCCATAAAGGCCAGATTTGTGCAGTGCACAACTGATTGTCCTATGGACAGACTCTCCCACCTCAGCTGTAGTTATCTGCAGTTCATCCAGAGTGATTATGGGCCTCTTGGCTGCATCTCTGATCAGTCTTCTCCTTGTTTGAGATGAAAGTTTGGAGGGACGGCCGGGTCTTGGTAGATTTGCAGTGGTCTGATACTCCTTCCATTTCAATATAATTGCTTGCACAGTGCTCCTTGAGATGTTTAAAGCTTGGGAAATCTTTTTGTATCCAAATCCGGCTTTAAACTTCTCCACAACAGTATCTCTGACCTGCCTGGTGTGTTCCTTTGTCTTCATGGTTCTCTCTGCGCTTTAAACAGAACCCTGAGACTATCAAAGAGCAGGTGCATTTATACGGAGACTTGATTACACACAAGTGCATTCTATTTATCATCATCAGTCATTTAGGACAACATTGGATCATTCAAAGGTCCTCACTGAACTTCTGGACTGAGTTTGCTGCACTGAAAGTAAAGAGGCCGAATAATATTGCACGCCCCACTTTTCAGTTTTTTATTTGTTAAAAAAGTTTAAATTATCCAATACATTTCGTTCCACTTCACGATTGTGTCCCACTTGTTGTTGATTCATGACAAAAAATTTAAATTTTATATCTTTATGTTTGAAGCCTGAAATGTGGCGAAATGTTGAAGGGTTCAAGGGTGCCGAATACTTATGTTACCTAAATTTATATATAAATTTAGGTAATATTGGATCATTTCCACAGGCACACCAGGCAAAATTTCAAGGCACACTAACAGGCCATGGCACACTGGATGAAAAACTCTGCACAAGAACACTCATTTACACAAACTCATTATCCTAGATCAGGGCCAGTAGACACAGGGCCATTGGTCCATAGGGAGCGGGATGACTGAGGCTGTAGATCCAGGACTAAGGCTGTAGATCCAGGACTGAGGCTGTGGATCCAGGACTGAGGCTGTGGATCCAGGACTGAGGCTGTAGATCCAGGACTGAGGCTGTAGATCCAGGACTGAGGCTGTAGACCCAGGACTGAGGCTGTAGATTCAGGACTGAGGCTGTGGATTCAGGACTCATGCACTTGAAAGACTACGTTATCTTACATAGACCTTTTTTCCCCTGGCTCAAATGATTGGCTCTTTTCAAAACTACATCATAGTTGAAGCCTGTAATCAAATGTCTTTCTGGACACTCAAAGACGCTTCACATGTCATTTTTCTTTCACTCCAAACACAGAGGTAATAAACTCCTACTGTAGCCACAGCTGCCTTGGGGCACACTGACAGAATCAAGGCAACCAGTATGTGCCATTGGCCCTTCCCACCACCACCAACCATTCACGCACACACCAGACTCATTCTAGCCAATGTGTATGAAGTTTCTTTGCCTACGAACACAACCAAAGTGTGGTACTTTACAGCCGCAGCCACCTCACTGTAGCACCTGGTGTTCTCAGCAAGAAGGTCCTGGCCGGAACAGGGCCTTTCTGAGTGGAGATTGCATGTTCTCCCCGTGTCTGCGTAGGTTTCCTCCGGGTACTCCGGTTACCCCTACAACTAAAAACATGTAAAATAGGTCTGGTATGCACCTCCTGTACTGGCGACCCCGCTCCCATCTCTGAGTGAAGTGAGAGAAAAACGCCCAAAAACTAACAATTGTAAACCGCTTTGTGACTCTGGTTTGTGAAAGGCGGTATATAAATAAAGATTACTTACTTACTGACTTACTCAGAAGGTCACCAATCACAGTACTAACTAGGCCCTGCCCTGCACAGCTTCAGAGGTCTGACAGGATTTGGCTTTTCGCATGCAATTTAGGCCACAAAGTATAGTAAAAATGTTTTGTGTACTAGCTCTCTCTGCTTGAAGCTTGGATCTGTCTAGATAGAAACCAGCATTGCCCAAATCCAGTCCTAATCAGCGATAATGAAGACGTTTGTGCTGCTTCTCATCGACACAGACTCTGCAGGCGATCATTCCATTGTGTTTATTTGTATCTTAATAATTTGTCCATCTGTCTCTGATTCTTGTATTATCTCCTAATTCTCTTAATCTCTTCTGCAAAGTCCCTGCAGTGTTCTCTGGTTTCTGCTGGGTCTTGTTGCTGAAAAATCTGAAAAATGAAAATAACACTGAGTTCCCAAAGTTGAATTAAGATTAAGAGAGTATATAGCTTGAGTCCTGATCTACAGCCCCAGTCCTGGATCTACAGCCTCAGTCCTGGATCTACAGACTCAGTCCTGGATCTACAGACTCAGTCCTGGTCTACAGCCTCAGTCCTGATCTACAGCCTCAGTCCTGGGTCTACAGCCTCAGTCCTGGTCTACAGCCTCAGTCCTGGATCTACAGCCTCAGTCCTGGATCTAGAGCCTCAGTCCTGGATCTACAGCCTCAGTCCTGGATCTACAGCCTCAGTCCTGGATCTACAGCCTCAGTCCTGGATCTACAGCCTCAGTCCTGGGTCTACAGCATCAGTCCTGGATCTACAGCCTCAGTCCTGGGTCTACAGCATCAGTCCTGGATCTACAGCCTCAGTCTTAAGAGGGACTCAGGTCCAGAGAGTGACCAGAGAGAGAAAGGGACCTGAGAGAAAGAAACAGACCCCATGATCACAGGAAACAAAGAATCAACAGCTGTATTAAAACAATGGAGAATCACAAATCCCTGTATTCATCTTCAGAGCCACGAGGCGTCACTCTCCATGGTTCATTATGGTTCATTATCCAGTGTTTTGTTCTGTAGAAAACTGATATAGCAGTGAGCCAAAGAGCGGATTCTCTCGCACACACATGTTCCGGTGGAGGAGTAGTTCATCCACGTGTGAAGGTTCTGGCAGGAACTCTGTGTCATTGTTCATTTTCCATCAGATCCAGGACTTATCCTCGCTGCCACAAACACATTATCCTCTGACAGAACAAACATTTACCCGCAATGTTTAGTGGAGCCCCACAGAGCTCCATGCATCTTTCCATTTCACCAGACTAGATGTTTTTATTTGAAAGTCATTTGGACTGGACTCACTTGAGGGAATGGGTGGAATCTGGTGTGCTCCAGCGGTTGGAATGAAAACTTGTCTCTTCTTTCTGCAGAAACTTAGAGAATTAGTAACTAATGTGGCTATGTTCATTTATATAGTACATTTTACAAATAAAGGGAACCCAAAGGGAGACGCCAAACACACTGGAGCATCAAAGCCCCCGATCCACACCATCCATTGACTCACTCACTCACTATTGTGCATAATTTTTACTGGTTGGAGAAACTTGAGCATACACAAAGAGAACATGCAAACTCCACTCAGAAAGGCCTCAAGAATCAAGCTCAGCTCTCTCAGACTAAAGTTGATGTCGCAGTCTGAAGTACGAAAACAGAAAACAGAAAAAGCTGAGATCTTTCAGTGGGAGCTTCAGGCAAAGTGGGGTTAAGTGTCTTGCCCAAGGACACAACAGCAGTAACCTGGCAAGAGCCAGATTGATGATTGTGTAGAACTCTAACGCGTTCTCCGCGATATCAATCTGGGATTTCTCACGGAGAATCCTTTCGGGGAAAGGAGGGATAAGCAGCAGAATACTTGAAGCTGATTGGGCGAAGTGACGCTGTGTGCCCGCCTACCAAGGTTTGACTTACGTAGGTAAAAATGCACAAACATCTTTGCCGTCCAGAAATGCACAAAGCGCCTCTCGCTGTTCATCTTTCAAAAAAGAAATTGGAGATTCTGCTAGAACTGACTTGATAGCCTCAGCTACGCGTCCGTCCTCCTGCGTAGCCATGTTTGTTTTGCTTCGGCCCGGCACTTCTTGCTTTCGTCAAACCCGGATATCCCGCCCTAAACCCCCAGACTGGCGCGTGATTGGCTCGCACACCCAGTGGTTCGACTCGAAAAGTGTAAGCGGGAGCGGTACAAGATGTATTCTCGAGTGTTTGTGAACTCACAAATACCGCGAGAATTCAGCTTGCAGGCAAGGTTACAACAGCAGCAGACATCAGTGAGAGTTGGTGGAGAAGGTCTTGTGGTGGGCTTGAATGCTCTACCAACTGAGCTACTGTCGCCCCAATCCGAATCTGTTTTGAACAAAACAATAATAATGATGATAATGCATTGGTTTCACTCCATACACAGTGATGATGAACTACGACTAGTCAGAAGAGTCCTGGGGGCGACAGTGGCTTAGTTGGTAGAGCATTGGCCTTTGAGCCTGAAGGTTGTGGGTTCAAGCCCACCACAAGACCTTCTCCACCAACTCTCACTGATGTCTGCTGCCGTTGTGTCCTTGGGCAAGACACTTAACCCCACTTTGCCTGAAGCCCCCACTGAAAGATCTCAGCTCCTGTGGACTCACCACCTGCAGGAGGATCAGTGAGGGGCTGGTGCTCTGTGAACTGGGTGCAGCTCTGACTGCCACCCCCCCGACCCAGAAATGGATTAAGGGGAAGAAGATGGATGGATGGATGGATAGTCAGAAGAGAGCAACCAGTCTGTGCCATCACCACATCCAACAATTTCCACACACCAGACTCATTTTAATGTGGGTGACGTGTTTTACCTAAGAACACAATCAGTTTGGCACTTTACAGCCGCAGCCGCCCCATTGAGGCATCTGGTGTTCCTAAAAGTCTCCCATCACAGTACTAACCAGGCCCTGTCCTGCTTTGCTTCAGAGGTCTGACAGGATCTGGCTTTCCCTGTAGGTGCATATCTCAGACTCCATCTCTTTGACTGATCTCAGACTCCCCCTGTTGGACTGCGACAGGTTCCAGCAGGGAACAACCCCAGAACTCCATCCTCAGTCTTTTCACTGTCCTTTTCAAAATGAATACGCTCCCATAGACTGCACCTGTGGGGGTGGGTCCCGGCTCAAAAGGTCTATGAACATGTGCGCTGACATACTCTCACTTCGAACCGGTGGGGGTGTACCTGGAAAGAGAATTGCCTAATGCTTTTGGATGCCACCTAGTTTCATCTCTTTACAGGATGGTCCAAAAGTCTCTTGGCCCAAAGCTATGTTCCAGATTTGTGTCAATGCTGAGGGGAGGACTCTAGTATAGCCGCTGTGGACATTTTCTTGCACTTGCTAAAGGGCTAGTGCCGGCTAATTGCGTTTTTCGCATTTTCCTGCCCACACGGCTCTTTTGAAAAAGCTCACAGAAGGCAAAGGTGGTTGCATGTAAGTTTCAACGGCGTTTCGAGAGAGAGAAAGAGAGAGAGAGTTAAAAATAAACCCCTAGTTGTCTTGATGTCACATTCACCATTTTGGGCTTAAATCTGTGGTTTCAAATATTCTGTTTTTGTATGTAAACGACTTCCTGGATGCTGCTGAATGGGTGGTGCAGTAATTACACCTGGAATGTGCTTTTACACTTGGGTTCAAAGACAGAGAGTTTCAAAGCTCGTCTTCCAGCTGCTCCCATTGATCCACCACAAGCGTTATGCTCTGTGCATGATGGTAATCAGCAGATATTGGTGTCAAAGTCTGTTTTGGCTCGTTTCGACTTCCCTCAGGGTCAGGGCTTTTCTCACTGACTCGTTAATAACATCCTCCTGAACACTTTTGGTGAGATTCTCATTCATCCACAGTTAACTCCTATTAAAGATTAATTACTTGGCAAAGATCAGCCTCATCCATCAGCTTGATTCCTGAATGGAAATATATTGTGAAAGCTCTGAAACGATTTATTATGCTAAGTTGCATACTTGTTGTTGCCAGTTTCTCTGGTGTGCAGCCGCCTTCATCATTCAGCCCTATCTCTCACCATTCAGAGGAAATGGGATATGCTAATTACCATTTAGTTAGAATCCGTCCTGACAGTTTGTGTTGCAGATGGTGCGTTGCCAGGTCTGAGTGGTGCGTTGCCAGCTCTGGATTTGGTGCTGGACACGAAGGATTTAAACATTAAGTAACGTTTAGCTTCTGCATTGTCGTTCTGAAAGCTCGTACACAGACAGTTTGTCGTTGAAACTGACAAAACAGCCATTACTGCAGAATTTAGGACCCAGAGAGTTTGTGAGCAGGTTGTTAATGCTCTCACTTTGGAGAGCACAGAGAGAAGGAGGTGGAAGGAGGAGGTGGAGAGAGAAGGAGGATGAGGGAGAAGGAGGGAGAAGGAAAGAAGAGGTGCAGTAGAAGCTGAGGTTGTGATTAGTAACAATTATCAAACGTAGAGATTCTTTCAGAATGTATAAATGTTAAATCTTCAGACCACGCTACAGTCAGAGAGAAGCAGATTTACAGTTTCATTTAGTCCCAGCTTTATGCAACCTTTGAGGACTGTTTGGACTGTAGACTAGAGAGAGACCAGAGAGAGGCCAGAAAGAGATCAGAGAGAGGGACCTGAAAGAGAGACTATAGAGAGACCAGAGAAAGAGTAGAGAGAGAGACCAGAGAGAGACCTGTAAGAGAGACCAGAGAGTAAGACTAGAGAGAGACAAGAGAGAGAGAGACCAGAGAGTGAGATGAGAGAGAGAGAGACCAGAGAGTGAGATGAGAGAGAGAGACACCAAACAGAGAGATCTGAGACAGGAGACCTTCTGCTGCACAGTGTTGTCAGTAAGAAGATCCACCCCCATGCCCCCCATGGAGAGGGACAATGGACCACAGGACAGAAAGTAAATCCATCTCAACTATAAATTAAATTCATTTTTATCTAATTAATTAGAGGTTTTGTAATTATTTAATCTCGATTAATCGCATTTTAATCGCATATAAATATTTGTCCTGAGAACAGTGAGAAGTAATGTTTTTGCACATTGATTTTAGTTTACCATTGAATAATGACTGACTACATAAGCTTAAGCAACACATGTTTATTGTGGAGGATCAGACGGACTCCTTTCCATCAAATAACGTTTCTGTCATCGCCTCCACACAAACTGTCCACAACATACACCTCTTAAGCCCAAAATCCACTGCACTCGAAGTGAGTACAAAAGCTTAGAATACGTTTTTGATGTGTGCATTCGAACTAAAACAGGAGTGCTCACACTTTTTCAGCATGCGAGCTACTTATAAAATGATCAAGTCAAAATGATCTACCTCCTACAAAAATGCAAAACATATATTTATTTCTAAATATATTGAGGATTCTTTATATCTACAATGTATGTTGATGTACATGCAAAACCGCATGATTTATGAAATAATTTGCCTTTAGGCACCGCCTCTGGCGGTCATCCAGGATTCATAGAACCGTAGTTATATTCGTAACTTTCGTTCTGTAGCGGCACTTACAGTCATAGTAGAAACTCAGGGTGAAGACGTGTTATTATAGATCCATGGTGAAGACATATGTTTACAAGCATTGACCCCAGCCCTCAGCCCTGGTTTGATCCTGGTTTAGCTCCTGTTTTGGTTGTTTTCGAGCGTGTGTGATCATTTTGCTGCTCTCTGATGTGGAGCGAGGATCGCTGCTGTGAATTAATAGTTACCTAATGTAACTTAAGTTCTACGAATATGTGCGTAGTCCCTTAGGACTTCGCTAGTGGGATATCACTCGTGACCCCCAGGTCACGCGCCAGAGAGATCAAAATAATTTGCTCCAATCACCAGCCACCCTCCTCTATAAAGGCCCCTGCACAAGGCCGCACCCCCTCTTGAACTCTGCCAAGCCGGGCTGGCCTGATGGGCTCGTAGCTAAGGGACTACGCACCTATTCGTAGAACTTAAGTTACATTAGGTAACTATTAATTCTACGTCATGGTGCTACGTCCCTTAGGACTTCGCTAGTGGGACACAACGCGGAGGCCGTAGGAACATGTACTCCCAGCAGGCCAGCGAAGGGTGATTGGAGCTCCGCCCGAGCAAGACCCTCACACAGTGGGAGGACTCAGGGCAGAAGAAGCAAATGCGTGTTACAGGGCCACTCCTACCAAGGATACCCCCACGTAACACAGACCGTAGGTCACCCGTAGTCCCAGGACGCCTCTCCCAAGAGCTCCTGACGTGGACTACCTGACCGACCAAAACACACATATAAGTACCGCACCTGTAGGACGCCTCTCCCAAGAGCTCCTGAACCAGTGCGGAAAGTCAACCGAAGGCCCCCTCAGAGGAGGGACCTAACGGTCTAACTCAGTCCGCTGCACTCAGAACGGAATGGGCCACCGACCGGTCCGACACATCCAAAAGATAAGACCGGACGAAAGAAGAGGACGACGCCCAAGAAGCCGCACGGCAGACGTCCTTGACCGACACCCCCCTGAGAAGGGCCGTAGAGGCCGCCATCCCACGCGTGGAATGCGACCTGAAGCCCACCGGGGGGGCCAGACCCTGCGTCTGATACGCCCGCCGCACAGCCGTGGCGACCCAGTGCGCCAGCCGCTGAGCCGACAGCGGGGCGCCCCTGTTCTTGGGGCCAAGACACACAAACAGCTGACCACCCAACCTGAATGACGACGTCATGGCCAGGTAATGCCTCAGCATTCTGACAGGACACAGAAGGTGCCGCCGCTCCTCCTCGGGGGAGGCATGCGGTGGTGGATAGAAAGCCCTAATCCTGATGACTCTCGACCTAAAGGCCGACGTGATGACCTTGGGGAGAAAGGCCGGATTGGGCCACAATTCCACCATGCCGTCGCCTTCTCCAAAGGACAGGCAAGACGCATGGACAGAGAGCTCACACAAGTCGCCCGCCCTCTTAGCAGACGCCAACGCCAGCAAGAGGGCCGTCTTAAAGGCGACACACTCGGGACTCGCCTCCGCCGCTGGTTCAAAAGGCGGACCCGACAGCCCCCTAAGGACCACCCTGAGGTCCCAAACCGGGGGCGTTCTCTGGAGCAGGGGCCTCCTCCTGCGCGCCCCCCGCAGAAAACGTTTAACCAACGGATGAGAGCGGGCTGTGAACCCCCCGAATCCGTCGTGACCCGAGGTAATGGCTGCCGCGAACACCGACAGCCCTCCCTTTGTCAAAAAGCTCCTGTAGGAATCCCAGGACCCCCTCCAGCGGGCAACGCCTGGGATCCCAGGAACGGGAACCGCACCAGTCGCTGAAGAGCCTCCACCTCGTGGCGTAGGCCCTCACAGTGGACGGCGCCCTCGCCCCCTGAATGGTCTCCACCACCGCAGGGGGAAGACCCAGGTCTACGAGGTTCCGCCTCTCAGCCTCCAAACCCAGAGCCTGCGGCCGATTATCGGGCGTGAAAACAGGGCTCCCCCCCCCCTGGACTAGAGCCCCCGGCTCGTCCGGGAGGGCCCAGGCCTCCATCACCGCCATGCCCCTCAGGAAGGGGAACCACCGGGCATGCGGACTGTCCGGAGCCACCACGATCACCGACCTCCTCTCCTGTTCGATCCTCCGCAGCAGGACCGACAGGAGACGCACTGGTGGGAAAGCGTACAGCAGGCCCTCTGGCCAGGGGTAATGAGCCAGAGCGTCCACGCCTAAGGGCGGCTCGTCCGCGGCCCTTAACTCATTCACTGCCCATGACGACAAAACTCGTCATGTTGAATAGTAACGCTCACTGCCCATGACGAGTTTGACGAGTTTTTCGTGTTATTACATGGGAGGCTACAGTAATGTCTGGCGCACCTTATGCATGCTCCACAATACTGATATATAGTGCAAATGTAACTGTAATGATAAATCAACACCAGTAGGATGCAGTGTCGCGCCACAGGAGAGCTTAAAAGCCAGTGGAGAGGGGGAGGAAGTGTGGGTTGTTTGGAGAGCGTGGTAGAGTGGCGGTAGCATTGAGAGAGAGTAGCATAGCGAGTAGCGAATTTAGCGATAGTTTAGAGATAGTTGAGATTATATAGGTGAGAGTGATGGCGAGTTATAAGCAGTTGACACTGCTTGAGAGTTTGGCTCGTCGATCAGTGAGTCAGGGAGAGAGGGAAGCAAGTTTAGACCCCGGCGAGGGTCCATCATCGCGGCCAACTTCGCGCAGAGGGAGAGCGAGGAGCCGGGAGACTCCTGCCGCCTCTCGCAGTGTTTCACCTGCTGTTACTGATGACTCTGATGACTTCAGCGAACCTGATCCTGACTCATCAGATGAGTGGTTACCGTCTGAAACCAGCAGAGCGTCATCCCCAGAAGCTCCAGAAAGAGCTGAAGGTAAGAGCTATGTTACCTAGAATATGCTGACTTGAAAGGAGGGAAAGGCGCGGAAACTTGCTTTGATCTTCAAAGTAACACCGCGCTCATATCCCTACTGCTTCTTTAGTACATGCCACTTATATTTTTTTATCATTGTAGTATTTATTATATATTTATTTGTTTCGTTATGTTTTACTTGTACATCTTGTTGCCAATAGCTCTGGCTAAATGAAATGTGTTCTATATTCACAGGTTCTGATAAAAGTAGAGAGCCCTCCCCCATTCAAGTTGGCAGAGCAAGGAGCAGAGGTAAAGATGAAATCCTCCTCATACCATTGTAAATATGTGTGTTTGTATATTCTCCTAGTATATAGATTCTATATACATGAATGAATGAATGAATGATACATATTCCTATTTACAGGTGGTGCAGCAAGAGGCGGTTCCTGTGCAAAGAGAGGTAAATAAACTAATTTCTATTCTTGCACATCACATGGCAATAATATATAATATACTATACTATTAGTATGTTATATTATTTTATGTATTTTGCTTTTGTACATTATTCATTCATACATGAATGAATGTACAACTTTCATTCATTCATGCATGCAACTATTGTTTTGGTCCAAAAATAGTCAGTCAATAATGTGGGAAGATACGTATTCATTGTATTTTATGTATTGATTTTTGTAACAAATTCACTGTATAATATAGTAATTGTATGTATCCACTTTGCAGCCCGTGCATCACGCAGAGGCTCTGGGGAAGATGGCTGGCAGGAGGATGAGTGGGAGCAGAGTCAGTTGCCCTTCACTGGAGCACCTGGACCTCAGGGACCTGCTGCAGAGCTGGATTCATCTGATCCAGCTGACTTTCTGGAGCTCTTCCTGACGGAGGAACTGCTCCAACACATTGTGGATCAGACGAACCTCTATGCCAGCCAGTATTTGGAGACTAACACTGAGCCTTTGCCCCACAGCAGGAGTAACAGGTGGAAAGAGCTCTCTGTCCCTGAGCTCAAAAGGTTCTTGGGACTCAGTTTCCTCACTGGTTACCTGAAAAAAACAACAGTTGAGATGTACTGGTCTACAGATGAGATGGATGCAACCCTATATTTCGCAAAAGTAATGTCGAGGAACAGGTACCAGCTCATCTGGAAGTTTCTTCATTACAATGACAATAGGTCACATGATGTAGGCGACAAAATGTACAAAGTCCGCCCTGTTTTGGACTACCTCGTAAATAAATTCAAGGACATGTACAGTCCAGGGAAGAACATCTGCATCGATGAGGGAATGATGCTGTGGCGGGGGCGTCTGGCTTTTAGGGTCTACAATCCTCAAAAGCCAGTGAAATATGGCATCAAGTCCTACATTCTGTGTGACTCAGCCACAGGCTACTGCCACAATATGCTGCCTTATGTTGGGACAAGCTCCACACTGGAGGACACTGTCTTCTGTCTTCTGGGTCGTCTCCAAGGCCGAGGTCACACACTTTTTATGGATAATTTTTATAACTCTGTTTCACTCAGTGAACATTTAC